AACCGATTTATTAATATTCTTTTTTTTGCATATCTTCTGCATATCGGCTTTCTATAATAAAAAATTTCGACCTGTGTTACTTACTCATTCAAAAGTACAAAAAAAAATTATAAATAAAAAGATAATATTAAAAAAAAAATAATAATAAAACAATTTAGTTATTGGAAAAAGATATAGCTATTGACTATTAGAAATTTTATCATAGGTAAAAAAAAATTAGCATAACTTTGAATTAAAGCTAAATACAATTTGTAGATTTTGTATTAGTATATATATATTTATGAATTTACTATATTTTATATATTTATTTGATCATTTTAACCTATAACAAAAATAATAAGAAATTTCTAAATAAATTATATGTTTGAAAATATTATTTTGTAACATTTATTTTTGATAATAAAAATTGATAGCTTACTTGTTTTAAAATGAATATATCACTAGTTTGTTAAAAGCAATTTTAATTCTAAAATCTCTTAATACTATTATTAGATTAGTTTATATGTAGTAGAATAGGTACACAAATATTTTTAATTATATGAACCTGGTGTATCAAAAGTTAAAGATCTGAAAAAATTAGTTTATAAAATGTCTGAAATCAAAAAAAAGCAATTTTTAGCATTCTTTTAAGATAAAAATAATATTGCCTAAAGTTCTTATTAAGTTAATACCAAAACTAGAATTCCTATTTTATACATTTAAGATCAAAAGGAATTCTTATAGACAAAATTTAATAAAACATATTCAAATAGGATACAATAAACCTTCTTTATGACCAGATTAGCTAATTGTAGTTATATCTGATATTGTGATAATTTGAGAGAATTATATATCATTTTTAACAAGTAAGGTTTTGAAGTATTTGAAGATTTATTAGCTCTTGTATAGCAAATATTTATAACAAAAGAAACTTTAGTAAGTTATATGCAATTAAGTAAATCATATAATAATAAATATTATAAAATTTATTTTGTTTAGAACAAATAGTTAATCATAATATATTGCATAATTACATATAGATATCTTCAAAGAAAAATCTATATTCTGGTTTTCAATTAAATTTTGTATCTGAAACTTTAATTGAAATTATCTTAATAACTACTATACTAAATTTGATAAAATTTTTTTATTTGAATTCTCGAATAAAAAAATTTTATCAAATTTAGTACAGTAGTTATTAAGATAATTTTGATAAAAGTTTCAAATACAAAATATAATTGAAAACCAGAATATGAGTTTTCTTTTAATAGTACGTATATATTAGTTATTATTTGTTCTAAATAGTATTACTAAGTTTTATAATATTATAAATATATATTATATAATAAAATAAACTAAATTATAACGAACCCAATAATATCACAAATTGAAAACTTATGTTGCTATCTCAAAAGAAATTTTAAATGTTATTTGAGAGTCAATTTGAATAGAAAACTATTTTATAATAATTGTATTATTTATTGTTTGCTATCAATTTTGGAAAATGCTTAAACCTATATTTTTTATGTTGTTAAAAGTATTCAGAACTATATAATTTTTTTGATTTTATAAAAAAATATAGTAATAATAAGTATAATTCTCAATGAAAAAAAATATATAAAAAATTGAAATACTTCCTCGTATATAATGCTTGAAAGTATTATCTAAACAAACAATATAAGGAATCATTAGTAAGTCTTGATTTAGATAGTGTAATTATAATTGTAGATTATAAGATATGAATTTTTCTAAAAATAGCATAATAAACAAAGTAAGAATTTTTTGGCAAAAGAAGCTAGATATTACATATAATCTTGATAATAACTAAAGATAGTGGTATAGATTTTTTGGATATTAATACTTATCATTATTAGTCTACAGATACAAAACAAGATGCTTGGTTTACAGTATCTTGTTTCAAAGCTGTGTTTAACAATATTGAAAAAAACCAAAGTAGATAAAAATAATTTCAGATAATGGTTCACACTATTATAATAGTGAGCTAATGACAATTGCAGCTTATTAGTTTGATTAGTACAATGTTGAAGTTTATGAATAGTTATTTCTAGAGCTAAATGAGGCAAAAACTACAATTAATTCACATCATGCTGTAGTAAGTTTTTTATTTATTATAAAAAAAATAATAAAAATAAAAATAAAAAAAATAAAAAAAAGTAAAAGGAAAAAAATAAAAAGCTAAAATACATATCTTTTTATCCTTACTTCTTTAGATAGTACATGCTATTAAACAGTATGTTCATATTGGATATGATGTAGTAGAAGGATTTAATATCATGACTACTACAAAAAATCTTGTAAGAACATATTTGGCAAGTATTAAACCAAATCAACATTAACCAATAAATGTGAATGTAAATCTAGTGACAGAAAATCTAAGAAAAAAAAAGCTATGTATAGAGACTATTGCTAGAATATCTATATATAATTTCTGGCAATAGCCAATTGCAGGCCCATTAGCAGGGTATATTGTAACCTGTCCATTGCCACATTTTGGAACTTCAGTTCATTTTTCTCTTGCTATGATCACTAGCTTGTGCAATTCTTCATCCAATACCAGTAATATCCACACATACTGAACCTCAATCGAAATAGACAATGGTTTTACCAAAACCCCAAGGTAAGAAAATATTATATATGACTTACATCAATAATATTCATATAAAACTTTATATATAGAAAACCAAAACCAGAACATAGTGGACAATGTTGAGATGATAGGTAATAATCATATTTATTATAATTTGACTATCTAAATCGAAGATTACATATGTATATAAAATAGATTCCATTAATACTGCAAGAGAAAATAATACAAAAAAAGGTAAATAAATAATAATTTATAAAGTATATTTACCACCCTTCAATAAACAATAAGTATTGAAAAAAATATAGAACAAAGAACCTGCTTGATTACAGAACTAGTTGACTTTCCTTGGAATAAAAGATGAGAATGCAGTATATGATAATCGAGGTGGAGGAAAATGAATAACAGGTGCTGTTAAAAAGATGCTTGAGCAAATGTTCTTACAGGGAAAAATTCATGCGAAAGATCGGATGATGGCTAAAGATATGCATGTTAGGTTGAAAGAATTCGCAGATAATGGTGAATTAGAACAGGATGAAGTGCCAAAAGTTTCAACAATTCAAAGATGGATATCACAGTACCACAAAACGTTTTTGGATCAGGCAACAAGAACCGCACTACAATCTAATTTGGGCGAAGACATTTCAGAGGGAAGTATATAACTGAAATAAACCAAAGTACAAGTATACAATATAAAATTAGAACTTTTCACTTACTGAATTCGATCTAACTTTCGCATTCGCATATCCAAGTTTTTTTTTTTTTTTCTTTGTAGCCGTGTGGAAGCTTAAAAAAATGAGTTTATAGAACGTTTATATAGTAACGAGCACTAAAAAAAAAAAGAATACCGGTTGAGTATGTCTATTTGAAATTGCACCCTATATGAAATTGACCCTATGTTTAAGGCCCAAAATGCCACTTCACGTCAAATGAAACTTGTGAGTGAAAGATCGCTACGATCTAAATCTTTCCCATATTGCTATTTAGGTTATAGTGCGTTTAGTAAAAAAAAAATTATCCTAATTTGGTTAGTAATATAATCACGTTTGCTTTGGGCACAAAAAATTTATTGGGTTTTAATTTATAACGATAATAATCTGCGTTACATTTTATTAGTAAATTGATTATCATTCCAAAACGTTATATCAATTAAATAGAAAAGAATATGTACTGCCAATTTGTACTAGTTCTATATTGAATACGAAACTATACTGAGTATGGAGAAAGAGTAGGACTCTACGAGAAAAAAGCCAGTAAATCTGTGTTACTATACAAGAAAAGATTCAGGAAAACATTTACAGAAAATAGATAAAAAAAATAAACAGACAATAGCGATAGTTGGGTACGTACGTACGTAGTTATCATACCACTACCCCTAAAATTAAGTTGAATCGAATCTAGCTTCGTCACACATAATCAAAGAATTCTAATGCATGTTATGGCTTATTATTATAGTTATTAACGTTAGTGAAACGATATTTCCTGAAATACTTGTATTGTTCGTACACAGAGATAATTACTACGTATCCGCACACCGCAGCCGGTGTAATTTTGGAGAAGATGTGCAAAAATGTACAACTTTATTTCAGAAATCAAAGCAATTTGATTGAATAATTGGTGGCTATGTGAACCAATTATTAATACGTATGGCGATGTATTCGAAATTTTGTTATGTTTTTCTAAAAATTGCTACTACTTGACAAATATTAAAAACAATAGTTAACCAAATAGATCTTATACAGCTAAGTATTGTTTTGCGAAATTCGGATTTTGGATGTTTTTTGATGATTCGCACCATAACGATAATGATAAGCATTGCATACCTATTTTGGATCAAGAAATTGCTCTCCCAATTTTATGTGAATAATATAATAAGTAAAGTTAAAATTTATTATTTAAGAACATAATAAAATGCAAGTTAGCACACGATAATATATCATTCAAGAAAAAAAAAAAAAAAGAAAACCCGGAAAAAATGATTGAAATCTCATTAGGAAACATCTATATTCAATCATTTATTATAGGATTAATTTTAGCAGTAGTTTTTTTCAAACTATCGAGGCGGACTAAATTAGTAAGTTTTTCTTTCAAATTAATTTTTATTCATAATTATGTTATTAATATAAATGTTACCTTCTTAGAATGAACCACCTCTTGTTTATTATCGATTTCCGATTATCGGGCATACTTGGAGTTTTGTAACAGATTGCGAAAAGTTAATGTTAGAATCTCGAGAAAAGGTTTTTCCTTTCTTTTTTTTAAAAAAAATAAAATAAATAAAGGAGAATCCTTCTTTAATGTTCTAATTATTTATGATCTTTTAATAATAGTATGGAGAGACATTTTCGTTATATGTATTAGGTCAAGTAATGACTGTAGTTGGAAAGGAAACAACTCATGAAGTATTAAAAAAAGATCAAGATTTTAATTTTAATGAAGGTTTTAGAACGGTAATTTTAGTAATTGAAAAATCCTTAACGAACGCAATAGTTCTTCGGATGATATCATACATTCTAAATCATTCTTTCAATTTTAAAAACAGCTAGTGCCGTTTCATTCCGTATTTAGTCATCTTACGAGTCTCGATAAAAATCATAAAATAATAAGAGACTATGTCGTAGGAAAATTAAAATATCTTACAAGTAGGTTACAAAAAAATATTATTAAGGCTATAGATCTTTATATTGGAGAATGTGTTGGTAAGTTTTTAACTTTTAAATTATAAGTCTCTCATGAGATTTAAAGGAATTTTATTTATTATTAGAGCCGAAGGTTATTCGTGATCCACCTAAAACTTTATCAGATATTATTGCAATTCCAATTGCTAACATTATTGTTGGTGAAGTATGTATATTTATCCGGCAGGTACTATGTAAACACTGACTGAAAAAATTTCACAATATAATATAATATAAACCTGCGGCGTAATAAATATCAAAACTTTCCATAAGTGTATACGTCATACCTGCTGGACTGATGGTGACGAATACAGGTATCAACAGAATAATCGTGGCCTTCGGCCATGTGCTTTTGCTATTATCCGCTGATACCTATGTATCCGTCAGATAACAAGAAAATATTGTTTTTTATATAAAATTTCTTGCCATTAATTTAATTACTCCTATAATTAAAAAAAATTAGGATTGTTGCAATTATGAGGATATATTAGAAACTTTTAAAACCTTGACGCATTCAGTTATGAAAATTTTTTTTGTGCCACCAATATTATCTTTTATACATCCCTGGCTTCATAAACAATTTGTCACGTAAAGTTATTTATTTTACCTTACATTATTTTTTTTTTTTAAAAAAAATCGAATTGATTCGTTATTTCCTAACAGAATTCCTTTAAGGTTTGGTTGGAATCCGATTTCAAATCATAGAAAGTTAATTATCAGTCGTATTAAGCCTATTATCGAAAAACGTCTTTATGATAAAAAAAGATTAGGTGATGCTTGGATTGCTCCAGTAAGTTATTTCTAAAACATATATGTAATTTTACATGAATACTTATATTATTTAACAATTTTTTAATTTAAAAAAAAAATAGTTAGATGCATTACAATGTTACTTAGATGATCCAGAAACAACTCCTGATCTTGATCCAAATAATGTAAATTATAATTATATTGCCGATGCGATCGGTCATTTTATTGTTGCTGCGATGGCAACTACGTCTGATAGTGCTACCCGTACTTTATACGGTTAGTTATATACGGTTTCATTATAAAATACTTTAATTTATTTTTAATATATTTTATCTGAATATTAGATTTGGTAGAAAATAAACAACAATATTGGCAAGAATTATATCAGGAGGCTCAGAATATTAATAATCAGTATGATGGAAATGAACTTACATCTAATGATATTGCCAGAATGGTGAAGTTGGATAATTTTGTTAAAGAATCTTTAAGATTATCTATTGGTGTAGTTGGTTTGCCGCACAAATGTATTTCTAAATCTTATTATACGTTTGCGAATGAATATCAAGTTCCAAGTGGTAATTTTATTTCCTTGATTCCTATTTTTCTTAATATTCAAACCTTAACAATTTTCCTAATTACTTAAAATCGTAGACCGCATAGTCATTTTAAACTTTAGTGATACGAATAATGATGAAGAACTTCAAGGCCCAAATCCCACAGAATTCAATGCATACCGCCATCTGGAACGTAATTCACCCGCATCAAAACTCGAACGTAATTTTTTGACATTTGGAGGCGGAAAACACGCGTGTCCGGGTAGATTTTTAGCTGTTGATGGAATTAAAGTGTTTTTACATAAAGTTATATTAAAATATGACATTAGAACTGAAACTAAAGGTACTGAAAATATTGAAACTAAAAAAGTATATTTTGGACCTTTACCTGGGCCAATAAAAGGTGGTATTGTGTTTGAGAATAGAAAGGAAATTGCAAATTAAAGTTAGAACATTATGTTATAAAGTTGGTTGGTACTGAGTACAAAGGTGAATCTTAATTTTTTTCTTTTAATATTTCTTTATTTCATTTTTTTTTTTTTTACTCTGATAATATTGCATATGGATAAATACAAATTAATATTCAAATTAAATATATAATTTAAATAAAGAATTAATATATTTGTACCCTTAGGGTATAAGTTTTTTTATTGTTCTAATAATTTTTTCTAGGAATATCTAAATTATTTTCTAATCTTTTATTATACGGTATTAATTTTTTGAGACATGCTTCCTGAACATGTTAGTTGAATTTCGTTGTTTACTATAAGAATAAATTCACATATGCAGCTATAGAATTATTAATATTTGAATTATTTATCACTGTGTTTGTCTTATAATTAATTTTCATTAATTCGATCCATTTATAAATGGAGGTTTTAAAATGTTTCTTAATTATAGAAAGGCCCGTTTCCATCGAATAAACTTGATTGCAATGCGTGCAACGTATGGGCGAAAATTTTTGATGGGAATGCTATGATTATTAAAATTAAGTGATATGACGGAATAGATAATATTTCGATATTATGATAAATAAATCAATATGCAAAATAACTAAATCATTAAAAAAATATGTAATGATTTATTAATGATTTATAAGCATAATAGGTTTTGTGAACGGTTTCATAAGCAATTTATGGTTAAGAAAGCAATTGGCAAATTAAATACACGTAATTATTATATTTGTTATGCGATTTCATAAACGATTCATAAGCGATTCATAAGAAATTTAATAGATAAGGGAAGTGATTGACCAATCAAATACAATTGTACATTCAACTTTACCGGTGATTACGCATTATCACACAAATGATTGGATCAAATTTTATGAATTATTATCATTTATTTTTAATAATCACTGAAATCAAAAAATTCCGCCCATATGATACCGCTTATTGCCAGCTGCAATAAGTTCATTCACTTTTTAATCGGCTTGAGGGTCGGTTTATTATCACCGAAAGCGCTTCTGGTTATAGGGAGTTTTGAGATTTTGTTGAATTCGACGTGAATTTTTTTAACATTTAATAATAATTAAAAAATGTCAATATTAACTTTTAATTAAAAAAAAATTTTAAAGATGTTATATTTGTTTTAATTAATTTTTTCTAGTAATAAAAGTTGTTTATAAGGTAATAAGAGACTATTAATGTTAATTGAAGCTATATTAATATTTAAAAAAGTATTTTCAATAGTATTAGTAGTAGTAAAATTAGTTGTAAAATTGTTTGAATAATTTGTTTGTAATTAGGTATTTTGAGGATTAGTTAGTTGTTGAGTTTGTATAAAAAGTTTATCTGTGTTGATTAGTGAAGTTTGAAATTTGTTTGTATGAATAGGTAAGTAATAGTAATTATGAAATTTGTTTGATCCAAGGATTTGATGATTTTTAAGAATAGGATCCTTTAAATTAAGATATATATAAGTTTTAGTGAGAGTTAGATTTATAGAGATAAGAAATAATTATGAGAAAGAATAATTAGATAAATGTATAAGGAAAGAGTCTAATATAATATTTTTTTTGAGTAGTAGAAGGTTATACCAGGAATGGAGTATGAAATACGAAGTGTATGGTTTACGAAAGAGTTAAGTGTGTGTCTCTTTTGTATCTGA